CATCAACGTGAGGAGGATGAGGGAGGCCGAAGGAGGCCAGGGTGTTGCCCAGGGCACCGGCCCTCCCCGTGCAGGAACCCCGAGGGGTTTTGGGACCCGGTTGCGCTCAGCTGGCCGCTGCGGGCACCGCTTTCCCGCTGGCCTCCTGCATCCACCCGTGACCGAGCCCTTTTCCCCGCAGGAGGGAGGGCTACATCCCCAGCAACTACGTGACCGAAAGCAGCAATTCCCTGGAGACCTTTGAGTGAGTGCCGGGGAGCGCGGGCAGCTCCCGCCCGCCGTGGTGGGGCTGGGGACGGGGACGGGGACCTTCCCTGAGCGCCGTGTCCCTGCCGCAGGTGGTACTCCAAGAACATCACCCGGAGCCAAGCGGAGCAGCTGCTGAAGCAGGAGGTGGGCGCTGCTCTGCGGGGGGACAGATCCGAGTCTCTCCCTGACATCCCATTGCCAAGTGGGATGCAGGAAGCAGGGAGCAAACCCGGGAAACGGCTCTGCCCGCGGCCGCCTCCGGGGAGGGATTCCAGGGGGCAGGAAGAGGCTCCTCTGCCACCCTCGCTCCAAGCCTTGCCCGCTCCGGTCCCCTCCTGAGCATCCCTTCGTGTTTCAGGGGAAGGACGGGGGCTTCATTGTCCGCGACTCGACCAGCAAGACGGGCAAATACACGGTGTCCGTCTACGCCAAGGCGTCCTGCGGGTAAGCAGGGCCGGGCGGGCRCCGCGGGCCCCCGCGCCCGCCCGCTCAGCCGGCGCCGTCCCCGCAGCGACGCCCAGGGCACCGTGCGCCACTACGTGGTGTGCCGCACGCCCCGCGACCAGTACTACCTGGCCGAGAAGCACCTCTTCGACAGCGTGCCCGAGCTCATCACCTACCACCAGCACAACTCGGCCGGTGAGCGGCACCCGCGGGATGGCTCCGGCACGGAGCCRGCATGGAGCCAGCATGGAGCCGGCACGGAGCTGGCATTGTGCCGGCCTCGCCGCCTCGCATTCCCCCTTCTCCCGCCTCCCCATGGGCAGCACCATCCCTGGCAGCCCCYGGGAGCCGGAGCTGCCCGGCTCGGGACCCAGCGGGGGGAAGCGGCTCTGCTTTCTTTCCCGATGCCCTTCCCGGTGCGCGTGCTCCAGAGGGAAGCACAGCACGCGGCAGGGCGCCTAGCCCCACAGGCAGCTGCTGCCACTGCCAAAGAACAGGGAATGACCCCTCCGGCAGAGCTGGAAGAGGCCCAGGGAAAGCTGGAACCGGAATGTGCCTTTGCAAGGAGAAGCTGGGATGGGCGGAGAGGAGACAGGAGCCCCCGGGGACAGAGGGGGGTGGCAGGATCAGGGCTGGCACGAGAGCCTCCTCCCGTGTGCGCAGGCAGCAGCAATGCCCGTTTCTGTGTCGCAGGCCTCATATCCAGACTGAAATACCCCGTGTCCCAGCACCAGCGGAGCGCTCCATCCACGGCTGGCCTTGGCTACGGTGAGCGGCCCTCAGGCACCCCGGTGTCATTGCAGCGGTACCGGGGAGCCCTCGGCCACGCCGGTGTCACCACATCAGTACCAGGGAGCCCTCGGCCCTGGCCCTGCTGCACCAACGTGCTGAAACAGCCAACAMCCCCTTCCCAGCCCTCCTGAGCCTTGCTAACATGGGGAACTGCAAGCTCCCATCCCTGAGAAGAGCCTTAGACTTCATGGATTTGGGAGATGTTCTTTGGAATAGCCCATGTGCAGGAGCCAGGAAGGGGAGGTGGAAGCGGCTCCGTGGGATCCGCACCCAGCACCCGCCTCAGGCTCGCGCTCTGTTCCAGGCTCCTGGGAGATTGACCCGAAGGATCTGACTTTCCTGAAGGAGCTGGGAACAGGGCAGTTTGGAGTGGTGAAGTACGGGAAGTGGCGAGGCCAGTACGACGTGGCCATCAAGATGATCAGGGAGGGCTCCATGTCAGAGGACGAGTTCATCGACGAGGCCAAAGTCATGATGTAAGTGGGGGCCAGACCAAGTCTGTGCTGGAGAGGCGCCGCTCTTGGAGTTGGGGGACAGCCGGGGACAAGGCCACGCTCTGCAGAGCGCATCCCTGTCGTGCCCTTGGTGCCGAGCTCCCTCATGAGCTTTTCCACCAGCTGCTGGGTCGGGAGCACCCAATTCTCCCCCTCCTTAGTGAGAGATGCTCCTCCTGCTGCTCGACCCGCTGGGTGCTCCCGATTYCCCTTCTTGTTCCCCGCTCAGGAACCTGTCTCACGAGAAGCTGGTCCAGCTCTACGGGGTGTGCACCAAGCAGCGCCCCATCTTCATCATCACCGAGTACATGGCCAACGGCTGCCTGCTCAGCTTCCTGAGGGAGGCCCGGCAGCGCTTCCAGCCCGCCGAGCTGCTGGAGATGTGCAAGGACGTCTGCGAAGCCATGGAGTACTTGGAATCCAAGCAGTTCTTGCACCGAGACCTGGTAGGGATGCAGCTGGAGGAGACTCCTCCAGCTCAGGGGCAACCTCAGCGCTTTCTGGATGGGGTCCAGCTCGTCTGGCAGCGCGGGATGGACGGGGAGCCCACTGCAGCGTGGATGGGGTGGCTGTTGTGGCACAGACAGGGTGCCCATTGCAGCGTGGATGGGGTGCCTGTTGCGGCACAGACAGGGTGCCCGTTGCAGCATGGACGCGGTGCCCATTGTGTCGTGGACCGGGTGCCCGTTGCGGCACCTCTCAGGCCCGTGCGCTGCGGCGGGCGCAGTCCGGTAGCTGCCATCGCGCCCAGCAGCACATTGGGAGTCACGGGGACCGCGGCACCAGCGACGCCTCCGTCTCCTCCCACAGGCTGCTCGCAACTGCTTGGTGAACGACCAGGGAATTGTGAAAGTCTCCGACTTCGGCCTCTCCAGGTCCGTGTCTGTGTCCCTTCTCCCATCCTAATCCCCCATCTCCTCCTTTGCTCTCTCCTGCACTTTGTTCTTGTCCCCCTGGATCTACCAGCCGTGTTTTCTCTGTGCCGTCTCCCCTCTTTGCTCCTTCCTTTGCCTCAGCCTTCTGCCTGCTGCTTCCYACCCTCCCGTCCCACTTCCCTCATCCATCCCCCTCTGCCCCTGCTTTTTGCTCCTTCCTTCCCCATCTCCGGTCTCCTGACTGCAGCTTTCCCACCACGTGCTCCCTGTGCCTCTTGCTGGGCTCCTTGGCCTCCCTATCCCTGTGCCCAGCTCTCCTAACACACAGCCTGGCAACGGGAGGGTGTTGCCCCTTGATCCACATGTGGGGCATGAACTGATGCCTCTGGGGGCTGTTAGTTCCTTCTGGGCTTGGGAGCACGGAGAGGGAGATGGGAGCAGCAGGAGAGGCGCCCCGAGCCGTCCCCGTGCCGCAGGTACGTGCTGGACGATGAGTACACGAGCTCCATGGGCTCCAAGTTCCCCGTTCGGTGGTCGCCCCCCGAAGTCCTCCTGTACAGCAAGTTCAGCAGCAAGTCGGACGTCTGGGCGTTCGGTGAGAGCACGTGGTGACCTGGGGGCGCGGGTGGGAGGGCGGCCCCGAAACTGCGATGCTCCCGCATGGACCGGCTCCAGGCAGGGATATTCCCTTGCTGCGAGCTGATATTCCCATGCTGCGAGCTGATATTCCCATGTTGTGACCTGATATTCCCATGTCACAACCTGATATTCCCGTGCTGCAACCCAATATTCCCATCCTGTGACCTGATATTCCCATGCCATGACCCGATATTCCTGTGCTGCGACCCAATATTCCCATGCTATGACTTGATATTCTCATGCTATGACTTGATATTCCCAAATTGCAACCCGATATTCCCATGCTGTGACTTGATATTCTCATGCTGTGACTTGATATTCCCATGCCATGACCTGATATTCCTCTGCTGTGACCCAATATTCCCATGCTGCRACCCAACATTCCCATGCCATGACCCAATATTCCCATGATGTGACCCAATATTCCTGGGCCGTGACCTGATATTCCTATGCCATGACCCAATATTCCCATGATGTGACCCAATATTCCTGGGCCGTGACCTGATATTCCTATGCCATGACCCAATATTCCCATGCCGTGACCCAATATCCCTGTGCCACTACCCAATATTCCCATGCTGCCACCTGATATTCCCATGCCATGACCTGATATTCCCGTACCATGACCCGTTATTCCCGTGCTCTGACCTGATATTCCTGTGATATTCCCATGCCACAACCCATTATTCCCATGCTGTGCCCTGATATTCCTGTGATATTCCCATGCCATGACCCATTATTCCCATGCCATGACCCGATAGTCCCATTCCATGACCTGCACCCGTCTCCCCACCCTCCCAGGCGTGCTCATGTGGGAAATCTACTCCCTGGGCAAGATGCCCTACGAGAGGTTCAAYAACAGCGAGACCACGGAGCACGTCATCCAGGGGCTGCGCCTGTACCGGCCCCAACAGGCCTCCGAGCGCGTCTACGGCATCATGTACAGCTGCTGGCACGAGGTGAGCCCCGTGTCCCCCATGTCCCCCGTGCCCCCCAGACCCCCATCGCCCCCGTCGGGGCGATGGGGGTCTGGGGGGCACGGGGGACATGGGGGACACGGGCGGTCCCGTCATGGTCCTGCTTCTCGCCCCACAGAAAGCTGAGGAACGGCCGCCGTTCTCGGCGCTGCTGGCCGCCATCCTGGAGGTGATGGATGAGGAGCCGTGAGCGGCTGGTGCCGCTGGCTGCGCCCGGGATGGTGCTGCTTGGACGTGTGGGGCTGCTACAGTGGGGTTGTTTTGGTCATTGGGATGGAGACTTGTGAGCTGTCACTGGGATGGTCCTGGTTGYCGGGATGGAGACTCATCACCCATCATTGGGATGGTCCTGGTTACCGGGATGGAGACTCATCACCCATCCCTGGGACTTCCCTGGTCACTGGGATGGAGCCTTGTGAGCTGTCACCGGGATGGTCCTGGTCACCGGGATGGAGACTCATCACTGGGACAGTCCTGGTCACCAGGATGAAGCTTCATCCCCCATCATTGGGATGGTCCTGGTCACTGGGATGGAGCCTCATCACTGGGACAGTCCTGGTCACCAGGATGGAGCCTCACCACCCATCATTAGGATGGTCCTGGTCACCGGGATGGAGCCTCATCACCAGGACTGCCCTGGTCACTGGGATGGAATCTAATCACCCATCACCAGGACAGCCCTGACCACCAGAATAGAGCCTTGTCACTAGAAGGATCCTGATCCCTGGGATGGAGCCTTGTCCCCTRTCACCAGGATGGACCTGGTCATTGGCATAGAGCCTTGTCACCGGGACTGCCCCGGTCACCGGAATGGAGCCGCATCACCCATCACCAGGATGGTCCTGGTCACCAGGATGGAGCCTTGTCACCTATTACTGGGCTGGCCTTGGTCACTGGGATGGAGCTCCATCACCTGCCACCAGGACAGCCCCAGTTATCAGGATGGAGCCTTGTCATCGGGACTGCCCTGGTCACTGGGATGGAGCCTGTCACCCATCACTGGGACAGCCCCAGTCACCAGGACAGCCCCAGGACCAGGATGGAGCCTTGTCATCGGGACTGCCCTGGTCACTGGGATGGAGCCTTGTCACCCATCACTGGGACAGCCCCAGTTATCGGGATGGACCCTTGTCGCCGGGACAGTCCTGGTCACTGGGATGGAGCCTGTCACCCATC